CTCCCCTCCCCTTAGATTTCAGTTCTCCTTTTCTGGTCAAACTGGGAGTTTTTAAAAGCAAGTGTACAGCCCAGAGAAACTGTTCCTATTAATCTTGAAACAAAAACTAATAATGTGGCACTTTTAATTGATATTTAAGGTCAGGTCCTTTTAACTGACCTTAACTAATTTGTAATGAATTGGGCAGTTTTTTCTTTTTTTAAAAAAAAAAGTAGTACTTTGATCTCTGATCCTATGTGGAACGGAAGTATTTATACACACAGTTGAGAAAGTAAGACTGTGTCTCACAGCTTTCTGCCAGAACTTTGACTTGGAATAGCCTGACAGCAACGTTGAACAGGTTCTTTGAGTACTTAAAAATAATTTTCTTTGACTTAACTTGGCCTCCATAGCTATATTAGGAAAGTTGGATTGACCATTTAGCTGGTGGGGTGTGACCTTGGCGAGTTCCCTGAAATAGTGTTGAAAGATTTAAAGTTACAGGCTTTGATTGCAACTGTACATTACTACGAGCGTTCTGAATGGCAGGGTGAGGGTGGCGCTGGGTAGAAAGCATGTGTGGAGTTCAGAGGGACGATGGACAGGGATTGCTCCTCAAGCTCCCACCCAGATGGTAGGGCTGCTTGAGTTTCCAGGACCCCAGTGCATTGGCCTGTGTGAGCAGTTTTGTTCCGGTTGACTTTGTTTCACTGCTTTATGATCATTTATTTGGGTCTTGGGGGAAAGTATCTACAGGTTGACTGCAGGCTCGTTGATTACCAGTAGAACTTAATGAGTTTTGGGCACTTTGGGGGACTTTGAACACCTTACCTGCTCCTGGCTTTGGTGGAAACATACTGCATTTCAAGATGTGTATGAGAACCTGTGCAGCTGATGTGCTGCCGCCAAAGGTCACCAGAGTGAGCGTCCGAGGGAACGCTTGACTTTTGTGGCAGCGCCGTCAGAGGTGTTGTGTGTCCTGCCCCCGTGTGGAGCGCACTCAGGCCGTAGAAGTTATAGGAGCTTCGGTCACAAATCCAATGACAAAACCGAATCTAAGGAACACCTGACTTAGGGTTTCAGGCAGCCCTGTAAATATTTCCAGGGAAGGCTCCTACTGCATTTCAAAGAAGACGCTGTCGACAAAGAAGCCAGAAAGGATCCGACTAAGGATTCACACGATGACGTTAAACGCTAGTGGTCTCTTAAGAGACAAGGTTCCCCCACTTACCTGAGGAGGTTTCCTGGGGAATAGGTGTGATGACTTTCACTAACTGGAGGCTGAAATGAAAACGTGAGGCACGTGTTTTGTGGAAGTGCCTTAGAATAAGCAGAGTTGGGGCTTGAAAGTGCTCCCTCCCACTTTCCCCCCCCCCCAACCTGGTCCAGTTCTTTGTTCATAAAGACAAGGGCATGTGGGCCCCGTGCTGTGCTGGCCGCGGAAGGCTTTTTGACCCCCGTCACAGTGCACGGATTTTAGTTATTGGCTCAGCCGCTCCTTATTTTATTTACAGCCTATTTGGCTGACTGTGTCCATGTTCGTCAGGTGGTCCAGTCATTTGAGAACAGCCCCGCCGCAGGTGCGGCTTGGTGAGTGGAGGGTCCCCCGCAGAGCGGTGGTCTTCCGTCGGCTCCCTTGCTCCAAGAGGAGTGTTTCTTCACGGTGGCAAAGCGAAAGGCCCGAGGTTGTGTTGCTTTGGCTCTGGTGTGGGGGCTTTGAGGAGAGGGGAGCAGAAGTCACGGGTACCTTTTTGAGTGTGATGATGGTCAACTTGAGAGTGCAAGTAGGACCTGAGTTAACCGCGCAGCCCTGGGTAGCCACATCAAAACGTTGGGTGAACATTTCAAGTTGGTTTCAGGTGTTGATTACCTGTGCCAGGTACTACTCAAAGGACCCAGCAGGACCTTGCTCTTCAGTATAGAGAAAGATACTCGAAAGCAAACAGTGATAGGACTTTAGCTGCACATCGCAGTTTTCAAAGGAGCAAGTGATGGAAGTTGGGGCTAGACTGTCTGGTCAGTGGGCAGGAAAAGAGCCTGTGGAGGAGGAGGGACCCTTGTGAGTATGAGGCTGGAGATGTGTGCTCTGTTTTCCCCTACCCAAATATTTTCCTGTCTTTGCGAACGCTCAGGTAACCTGTGTGTGTGTGACAGTTTCTGTAGAGTAGATCAGCTACGGCTTCCACATCATGTCAGTGTGTGTGCTGTGGTTCTGTAGTTCCACTCCCGGGAGCCTTGTGGGCAGCAGAGCCCTGGCCAAGGGTTTGGCTTGGGTGGGTTAAAGGATCGCTGCCCCCCTGGAAATCTAGGCCCCTCAGACGGCACAGGGACAGGAACGGCATCCGCTTTGCCTCGGAGGAGGGTGGACAGTGTGAGCCGAGTGGATACTGGGGCAGGCAGGGAGGGCAGGTGAAGCTGTGAAGGGAGTGGCAGGGTTTGTTGGCACTATGGCCAAGGAAGCTGAGGGGGCAGAAGACGTGGAAGGTGTTGGTGACTTTCTGACTTTTACTGAATGCTAACACTGCAGAGATAAAAATACTAACCAAACTATCCTTCTGGTGTAAAACTGAATGGTAACTGAGTTATGTTGTTGCCCAGAGCAGAAAAAAATACCTGGATCCTACCACCTGGGGATTGGTGACCTTTTTGGAAGCCATTTTAGACAAGATAGGGACTACAGGGATTTCTGCACAAGCTAGATCCACTGAACACTTGGGAAAAAACCCTTCAGCGTGGGAGTCTGGCAACCGTGATCTGTCTGATCAGAATCAAGTGAGGCCACTGAGGGAAGAGTTTGATTGCTCGTGCTACTGGGTCATTTTTTAAAAAAAGCTCTTTTAGCACCCAAAAGGGAAGAAAAGCCTGGGATGAAAGACTGTTCCTTCACCTTGAAATTGGTACCATGTAGCTCGTAGCCCCTGGCCTGTGAGGATTCTTCTGTTGAGACCTTGCCTGCAACGCCAACCCTCAGTGAATCTGTGTTGAAGTAGCAAATAGCGAGCCACATGGGAGCCCAGATTATCAGTCCATTATCATTTTCTGTCCTGATGAGTACGGGGAGCCCTAGTGGTACAGTAGGTTACATGTACGGCTGCTAACCCCAAAGTAGGCAGTTCAAAACCACCAGCTGCTCCTGCAGGAGAAAGAGGAGGAGGCTTTTTAACTCCGAGAAAAAGTAAATTTTCAGAAACCCACATGGGCAGCTCCACCCTGTCCCCATAGGATTGCGATGAGTCCACATCGACTTGATGGCCGTGAAGTTGGATGTTTGAGGGTCTGATGGTTAGAGTACTGGAAAACCTTATGAGCCACTCTCTGTAAATGTAGGTCTTCCCTTCAAGAGCCAGGGAGTCTGGGAATTGGGAGTTTGATCCCATCTGGTTTTATCAACTCTGCAGGAAATGGGAAATGGAGAGCCTGGGCGGGGTGGGGCGGCTTTAAGCTTGTGACTTAAGCTGGCCTAGAACTTAGGCCTCAGGAGTGTTCTATCCTCCCCTCCCCCCACGCTGGCAACCACCCTGTTTACTATTGTGACTGCCACCAGACTAAGAAATGAGAGAACTGCCTTCTGCCTTCTCTCTGTCTACCCTGACAGAGATCTTTGATCTGCAGCAGCCTTCCGGAGGGTAGCGTTGTGAGTCTATTCAAGGCCACAGATAACCCCCAGTCCCTGTGTGCTGGCTTCGTAGGCCTTCAGAAGGGGAAGACATGCTTCCTGGCCTCTGAGCCCACGAGCCCTCGTTCTTTGAGGAAGTGGAGAAAAGCCAGAGCTGTTTTGCTCTGGAGGTGGTGGGGGGACTGTACTATGGATGGCACTAGCTTTGAAGAGTAAAATAACTGTGTGTGTGGGGGAGACTGTTCATGGAGAACAGTTCCTCTGCTGGCCTAGAAAGTGGGCAACCTTGGGGTTAGAACTTGAGTCTTCTCCAAGAGCAAAGCTTTAGCCTTCAAACCCAACCTGCAGGGG